GATAAAAATCTCACCACCCTACCTTCTAATCAGTACCAGTGCACCGACTTATCAGGGTGGGATCTCACTGGAGCTGCTCCCAGCTCTTGTGGAGTTTGTACAGCCACCACAGAGCAGGCTGCCTCACACCACAGCAAGATATCATTGTTCTCAACTCAGTAAAAGCCGCTGCTTCACACAGAGACATGGTATCTCCTAGTCTGCTGAGCGATGGTATCTTGCCCCAGCAGAAGCAATAGCTCAGGGCTTCCACTGAGTTCTTGCTGCTTGGAGCAAAGGAACTCATAAAAGACAGCAGTCTCCAAGTCCCCATGAGTCAGAAGCACTTCCCCACACACACCAAACCCATGCTACAAGCATTGATGCGTCTCAATAAAGCACCTTTCTGCAGGATGGACCAAGTTTGGTCAGAAGGCCAGAGAGATGTCAGGGGTGGAGAGCTCGTTTGTTGATTTGGGGCTTGCAGTGCTCACAGCACTTTGCCAGGACCACTGTAGAAATGAGCAATGTATGTTCAGATATGCAAGGGCATGAGTTGAAGTAGTGTAGTGGGGGAGCAGCTGTCAAAGCAGAAGTCGACCTCTCCTTGAGGCAGCAGCTGCACAACTAAAGAGTATGCTATAGAGTTCAGCAAGGCTGAGCACTGCACCCCAGTGATCCACTGCAGCAAGTGTGGGTGGTCTGCAGACCACCAACAGCAAGAAAGTGTTTATTTGTTTCTTGAAAATAGGTTGAGGAGAGAATGCAAAGAATCACCATCTCCATATGAGAAAGGTTGGACTCATTTAACAGCCTTTAAAACATATTTTACAGACACCCTGCTAAGTTAATAAGAGAGATTGAAAATTTTTCTGTTTTTAAAAGATTTATAGAAACATAGAATCATAGAATGATTTGGCTTGGAAGGGGACTTTAGAGGTCATCTAGCCCAAGCCCCCTGCAATGAGCAGGGACATCTTCAGCTAGATCCAGTTGCTCAGAGCCCTGTCCAACCTGATCTTGAATGTTTCCAGGGATGGGGCATCTACCACCTCTTGAGGCAACCTGTGCCAGTGTTTCACCATCCTCATTGTAAAGAATTTCTTCCTTACATCTAGTCTAAATCTACCCTCTTTTAGTATCAAACCATTACCATTTGTCCTATCAAAACAGGCTCTGCTAAAAAAGATTTTCCTCATCTTTTCTTTAGCCCCCTTTAAGTACTGAAAGGCCACAAGAAGGTCTCCCCAGAGCCTTGTCTTCTCCAGGCTGAACAGCCCCAGCTCTCTCAGCCTTTCCTCATAGGAGAGGTGTTCCACCCCTCTGACCATTTTAGTGGCCTCCTCTGGACCCACTCCAACAGGTCTATGTCTTTTCTGTGCTGGGGGCTCCAGAGCTGGATGCAGGACTCCAGGTGGGGCCTTACCAGAGCAGAGGGGCAGAATCCCCTCCCTTGACCTGCTGGACACGCTGCTTTTGATGCATCCCAGGATATGGTTGACTTTCTGGGCTGCCAGCACACATTTTCGGCTCGTGTCCAGCTTCTCATCTGCCAGTACCCCCAAGTCTTTCTCAGCAGGGCTGCTCTCAAACCCTTCATCCCCCCGCCCGTATTTCTGTCCGGGGTTTCCCCGACCCAGGTGCAGAACCTTGCACATGGCCTTGTTGAATTTCACAAGGTTCGCATGGGCCCACTTCTTGAGCTTGTCCAGGTCCCTCTGGATGGCATCCTGTCCCTCAAACACGTCAACCACATGACTCCGCTTGGTGTCATCTGCAAACGTGCTGAGGGTGCACTCAATGCCAATGTCTATGTCATTGAGGAAGAAGTTAAACAGTACCAGTCCCAATACAGACCCCTGAGGGACACCACTTGTCACTGATCTCCATCTGGACATTGAGCCATTGACCACTACCCTCTGGATGCAACCATCCAACCAATTCCTCATCCACTAAACAGTCCACTCATCAAATCCATATCTCTCCGATTTAGAATGATAGCAAGAGACTGGAGCCAGTCTTTAAGTGATGGATTTAAATTACATTGTTTATTTTATAGATCAGCCACAGCAACAATTCATGGATGACATTGTCTCAGGACAATTCCTTGACAGTTTATGTGTAATGTCACTGTCTCTCAAAGATTATGCTGACCCTGTGGACTGCAGAAAGACCTTTACAGTGAGCGCTACAGCAGAACAGGTCTATTGTGTCAGGGATTTTCTCTTTTTTGTCAATCTTTTTTTTAAGGCATCCTAGGCAAAGAGTCAGAACATGTGAGAAAGAACAGATCGGTTGAGGGTAAACAACAACATCCTAGGCAGCAAAGAGCTATGTAAGAAGAAGGGACTTTGTAGGGAGTAGCTCAGGTGCATACTGATCATCAGCAAGTCCTGGAGAAGATGTGATAGAATTGCAAGGGAATTTTTACCTCTTGGGATAAAGCTTTTGGTGAGTAACAGAGAACTGAAAGCAGTCTGGACAAAACAGCTTAGCAGAGAGAGAATTCACTTGTAAAAATAACAGCAGACTTTACAAAAACCTGTCTTCCAAGGAAAATCTGGAAAATGTGTTAATAACTGGAATTACTTAACTGGGGGAAATGTTGCATTTAAAAACTGTCAGTTGTTGGGGCTTTTTACATTTTTTTGCTTATTAATTTGATAAAGAAATACCTCTTTTACTTCTGAATATCCCTCAATCAGAAAGTTGTTAGTAGCACTAATTAGCCCACACCTGAAAACCCTCTAGTCATTATAATTCATGCCAAATAGCAGCATGCCCAATAACTCAGCAGTTACTTCTTAGTAGGATCAACAATTTTCCCCATGAAAACTGTGGTGCTGGTTGCTTTGTCAGAAATCACCACAAGGAAGGGCCTGTTGAATTTGATGGTAAGAGAAGGACGGAGAACTCTGGTAAGGATTACGGCTGTGGCTCCTGCAGCCTCAGTTCCCACCTCATCAACTGCCAGCAAGGCTTTGTGAATTGCCTGCAGGGAAAAGGAGCAAATGCTGTGGTTAATACAAGAGGTGGCAAGCAGAAGGTAAACGCTCTTCTTATGAAATGTTTAGGAGAAGACAGGAGTGATAAAATCCAGTGCACCTAAATTTCTTGTATGGTAAAGCTCCAACAGCCTGCAATAGGAATGTTCTCCATGCCAGGAACTGAAAGGAGAGGGCCAAAAATAAAAATGAACACACTATAGAGGCAGTGTCCCCAGTGCGGAGTGGAGGGGGATAATAACAATCCATGCACTAGTTGGTTTATTTTCTTCAATAGTTTGGACTTCCATCAGCAACAATTTCTCTTGTTATTCCAAGGTTACTGGAAGACTGATGTTTAAAAGTGAATACAGGGGCAGTAGCTGGCATCTTTGCAACATTAAATTGCAGCTTAAACTGACATGGTGAAACTCTGCTACTGCAAACTGGAAGTTTCCTGGAAACTTTGGGAATATTAAAAAAATATGTACTAATCAAAGCAAATATCATACTATATTCTTCATTTGTAATTTACTTGAAACAATTACATGCAGCCAATCATACTCAAGTGCTAAGAAGTAACTGAAAATCTTGTCTAACTTTTCCATGTACTTAATCTCCAGCATTTTAATAAGCTCAGCACAAGAAGGACATGGACCTGTTGCAGCAGGTCCAGAGGAGGCCACAAAAATGGTCAGAGGGATGGAACACCTCTCCTATGAGGAAAGGCTGAGAGAGCTGGGGCTGTTCAGCCTGGAGAAGACAAGGCTTCAGGGAGACCTTGTTGCAGCCATTCAGTACTTAAAGGGGGCTAAAGGAAAAATGGGGACAGGGTTTTTAGCAAGGCCCATTGTGGCAGGACAAGGAGTAATGGTTTTAAACTAAGGGACCATAGATTTAGACTAGATATACATAGATACATATACATATGTATACTACATATACATAGATATACATACTAGATATAAAATTCTTTACAATGAGGTTGGTGAAACACTGGCACAGGTTGCCCTGAGAGACAGTAGAAGCCCCCTCCCTGGAAACATTCAAGGTCAGGTTGGATGGGGCTCTGAGCAGCCTGATCTAGTTGAAGATGTCCCTGCTCATTGCAGGGGGCTTGGGCTAGATGACCTCTAAAGTCCGCTTCCAAGCCAAACCATTCTACGATTCAATGATTTTACAATTCTAATAGCAATATTAAAATAATACAAATGTGGGACTGCAGACCCAGTCTGTAGAACAGCACAATTACTAGCTAAGCTCCTACAAGGCATTGTGAGTTTTACTTAGAAGTTCAGTAGGACAAGGAGGGAAAGAAAGTCTTTAAAAACCCCAGATATAATTGATCTCAGGAACCAAACACTGCTCCATCAGCAGCTCTGTCTGTTCACTCACTTGTGAAACCTGAAGATCACGGCTGCCACTAATTCCAGACAGATCAGCATTACTAGAGAATACTTCAGTGATGCCCATTTCCTTGAGCAGATTTTTAACATCGTAAGACCCACTAATAGAAATCTTTGGTAACTGCAGATTTAATCTCCTGTTGAACAAAGAAAACGAAAGAGCAGTGAGGCATTGCAGCTTTGTTTCAGCCAGCAGGCTGGATAGTATGCAATTCACTGATACTTGAAAACATTATTTTGATTGCTAATGTGTTTGATGGTAGGACTCATATTCCCTGAGCAATTTTGGCATCCAGAGAGATATGCCATTTCACTTTCATTTCATACCATTCTTGTACCTACATCGTTTCTTTGATTTTGGGAAAACCCAACTAATCTCTTCATTGCCACTGTTACATCCCTGTGCCAATACATGCATATCTAGCAGAGTTTTGTGGCTAGAGGGCTACAGAGAGTAAGCAGACCAACTATGGAAAGGCTAAAGTAAGGGAAAATGAGGATAAATTCTAAGATACAGCGAAGCAAATGAATTGCGTTAGATCATGAAAGAAGAGGCATGGTAGCCAAAAGGTAGCCAAGCAAGTCTTGAGGCAGTGTTACAAGGCTGTGTCCCCTTCTGTCAGGTCAGAGACCCTGCAGATGCTTGTAAATTATGCTCTGCTCTGACTTGTCTTGGGAATCATTTAAAATCCTGCTTTGTCTTCAAAATAATAATGTGTCTTCAAATAGAGTAATCCATCTATGTACAGTTACCTGGTCACAAGCCTGGTATCCCATTTACAAACAGTTTCCTTGGAAAGAGCATCTTCCACTTGCTTCATCTTTCCATCATCAGGCAGAATGAGCAATGCTCGTGCAGTGCCCTGGTAAGGCAGCTCTACCACCTCACAAGAGAGATCCTGGTCGTAGTAACTGTCATAGTTACTGTCATGTTGCATCATGTTGACTCTAACAGATGCATTTGTGTTCACAAAAAAATCATCCTCATACGTACGCAAAGGATCAAAAGGCTTTTCCCAAGCAGCTAATGGGGGAAAAGAGAAAAAGTTGCACTCAGATATGTTACAACTATTAAAAAAGTCTGATACGAATCAGACCACCTTAAATGTTAGGATGCTCCAGGGCCCTTTATGGGAGAAAATAATCACTATATCACCTCAATCTCCTGCATAACACATAATTATGTTAGCTGTGCAGTAAGTTCAGCATAGTTAGTCTAAGTAAGTCCTGTCTTGCTGAAAAACAACCAAAGATTGATGAGGACCAGTTGAGAGAGTCCTGCATTGATTGTAGCCATATATTCCCATCACTTGTGCCTTTTATGTCTTTTAAATTTAACAACTTAAACATTCAGTCACAGGATCTTGTTATGCCTTTCTGCTAGCCTGTACTCAATGCAAGCTGACTGCACTCAGCTTGGTGAGGAATTCATCAGCAGAATAGAGGTTCCTAACATTCAAGCAGGGCTCCAGAAGCACAGGGCCTCAAAAATTCTATGATGTCCTGAGTTTTCATTCACTATACCTAGCAGATCTACCAACATCTGGGCACCTTTGAAGCGCAAGGATGTCAGTCCACTAAGTTTGGCTGGCACATACAGTCAGCATAGAGAACTTTGAAACATCTTTAGTCATTATGCCCTCAGACCAGCGTAACTGCATGCAATGGGTCCCTGGCTATGAGGCAGTCCAGTAGAGTGGGACTTCGCTGTGCACAGCTTTCTGGCAAACTGGGCCAAAACCAAGCAATCATTATTTTTCAGCAATCAGATATCTTGCTTGTGGCCAGATCTAATCTTTACTTTGAAGATACTGCACAGTTTAGCTCTTTTCTAAATAGTTTCTCTGCTATTAAGTCATCAAGGGTTCCCTACAAATTTTGTTTCTTGTTTAAATAAACTATTGGAATAATATGTTAAAAAACTTACCTTTAAAATAAATGTAGTTAACAAGAACCAATACTGTACTGAAATCAAGATGACTAATTAATTCAGGAATTTTCCCCTTGGTTTTCTCCTTTACATAGTTGTTGATTTGCTGTTTAGCTTCTTCTGGTTTATGGAAATTGATAGAAAAAAATTCTGAATCATAGAATTGTTTGATATTTTGTAAAAATGTCTCCTGTGGTTCATATCCAACAGCTGTGAAAAGAGCATTCCCTATGTTTAATGTGATGTTAACATCAGTACAGTTCAGTACTGCTAAAACTTTATGAAAATTTTCATGTATATCATGTATGCGAGTCTCAGTCAGACTGTCAAAGCCCAACCCTGCAAATATCTGAGACAGAGTTGTTGACTTTGCACCAACAGCCAGCATGGCAAAGGCAGTGGAGATGCTGATGGGAGAAAAGAAAACATTTTTGTCAGCTTCTTTTGATATAACCTGCTTGTAAAATCTAAATACAAAATCAGCATAGTTAGAGCCTTGCTTGTCACAGTTATGTGTTAATAAACTTTCTATTCCATCTTGCAGATTTGTGTGACTGACTTCATGGCAAATGTCTTCATGGTGGCAATGGGTTGTGGCACAAAGAACAGCAAGGAGTAAACACAGGTACAGGAGATACTTCATCTTTTTTTCAAATTAGTCTGTCACAAAATAAATAATCATTAGATGAGCAGACAGTAAATATGAGCTTGGTAGTAAGAAATAATTAATATTTTTTTAGCATAAACATTATATAATGCAAATGTAAAGATCTGATGTGCATAGGATATTTAAAGTGCCCATGGATACAATGTCAAATGTCATCAATAAATTCAACCAAATTATAAATTAAAATGTCAGGCATAATAAAACCATAATATTCCATGGTAACTTCCCTGAAAAGGCAATCCTCTTCTTCATTGATAATGAAAGCATAGAGCCAAAGTCCATAATGTTCTCTATGAACAATTACATCATCTTCCTCAGATCATTGTCTCCTATAGGGTACATCTAAACGAACAAGCTACCATGAGGTAAGACAGGGTGTTTTTTTCAAAGACATTAAATATGCCACGGTACCTACCCAAATGCAGTTTGGTAAATGTGAGGAAATGCGAGGCAGTTACTTCTCACTGGAAGTGACAGCTATCATGGACAGTGCTCATTAGATTCACATCCCTGTTTACTTCCTGGTTACTTACTCACACGGCTAGTCATTGGCCACTGCTGATAGGTGATGGATGAAAGTCATCTACATAAACCTCAAAGCAAAATTCAAAGCAAAACCCTGGAGCATCTTGCGCCATGTCAGGGCACTCAGAAGTAGGGATAAAGACACGGGGGAAGCAACAGGTTTGCCCCAGATAGTGATGTGCATGTTTGAAGAGAAGGGACCCTCCTTCCAGGGGGCCGCAACAGGTGTTTGTAACTTGTTAAATGGTGGTTTGCCCCTCACCATGGGTTAACCTGCGTGGGATGTGTGGCTCTCCCCAGAGACACAGGAAGGACCCGGGTCCAAGAGGAAAAAAAGAGCCCAGATCCCATTTGGAAATCAAAGGACAGGCAGATTAATCCCCTTGGAGATGACAAGTTTCCTCATTATGCTTGTTCTCCTAATGCTGACTTGATATAATTTACATGAGCTTCCTGCCCTCCACAGGAGCTGGAACAAGTCTCTAGTTTGCTGAAGTCAGTTTCCTGCTGTTCTGGGGAGGCATCTCATATAAACCCTCTTCAGAAATGTAACAAGCTATTCATGAAAATAAGATTTTTGCCCTCACAGCTTCTACGTGAAACATTTCTAGAACTTTTCTGCTGTTATGGCCTGTCTTCTTCTGGTTTCCAGCCAACACAGCCTGTTTGTATCCTTCTCTTCCAGGAAGGCATTTTCCCATATCCTGCCACAGTGAAGTTCTCTTGGTCCCGTATTCATTCCCAGATGTGAAAGACGACCATATATACTATCTAAACAAGATTTAGATACAGTTTCTGAGGGCAGCCCAAGTTGGAGAATTCTTTATCATCGGCAGTTGCTATATTTTTTCATTCGAATGGTAGTCTTTCTTGTTTTTATGGCAAACTTATAGCTGTGTGTTCTCATTTTGCTAGGAAATGAGTATTCTGAGTATGTGTGAGAGCAGATAGTGACCACTACAGTGACCTGCAGTAAGAAAGGGTTATGCTAAATTTGAATTTCGTTAAACCAAAACATAGAGTATGCCCCTAGATGGGAATATGATTCAACTATTTGCATCTCTTTTAAGAAAAACTCTCTCTCTTCCTCTCAGCCAAAAAATAGCCCCTATGCACAGAAGGCAAAAGAAGCAACCATGTAGTACAGAGGGTGTTCCAAAAGTACTTGTTATTGAACATTTCATAGACTTCTTTTCTCTAGTTATTTGAGATATTTCACACTGAAGTTAAAAATAGGAGATTTTTTTGTCTGTCCCTGACCACTTCCTGTGTCCAAACAGAGCTTAGCCTAAATTTCAAAGAATTTCTGAAGCAGAGTATGGTTTGCCTGCAGCAAGCTTATATTAGGCATGGCTCTGTTTTTAACTTCTACTGTAGCAGACCTGTTAAAAAACTTCTTTTAGTACCACAGCTCTCTGTAGAAATACTAAAGAAGTACTTCTACCAGAAGCTGGAAAACACTGACTATTGTCATCAAGTTATCCCCAGGTACATTTCCCTTTAGAGAGTTTAGTCACATTAATTTCAACATTATGAAATTAGAAAACTGCAGCCACAAATGTTTTTTTGTTATCATGTCAAAGCTGAAGAAACTGGAAAGAGTTTATTAAATCCGGGCTGTGTTTTATATATACAAATGGGAAATTCAGAAAAAAAATTTCTACAACACCACAGATTAATTTGTCTATAGGAATAAAAGGGGTAATTAATTTTAAATTGTGGCCTTCCACCCACCCCCCTACACTCACTCCAGTCCTAGTTAGAGAGCCTGACCTTAGCTACTCAACGTTTGTTTTATACATTAAGGCACCAGAAGAGTTTATAAATTGGACTTGGCTGTTCAGCTGCTTCTGGGATTATGCTAATTTGAAGTCACTGTGAAGGCCATTTCCAGCCTAAAAGCTGATTTCATCAGCATTCTGGTTCACCAACTACTTAATAAGTCACCATGACTTCAAGGGTTATTTTATTCTAATTTCAACCTAGGCATATTCCCCCAGAACTGCAAGTCCCACTGGTCTCTTGCATGCTTATTTGGGTAATATTTCATGGCAACACCTACACACAACCAAGTCACAAGCAGACAAATGAAATTAACCTAACATGAAAATTTCACTGACTGCAGAAAGCATTGGTCGTGAGGCTCTAAGAAAAATGCGTGTGCAGTACTTACACAATCAGAAGCCCTGCTGCATTCAGCTGACCATGCTGTTGTCCACGCTGTTACTTATACTGCTCCATCCTCTCCTGCTTAATTTCCACTGTTAAACATTAAACAGACCTGACTGATAAAAATTAGAACCAAACAAAAAATGAGGAAACAGAGCAAATATTGATGAAGTAGGGTTTCCGAGGATCTTCTCCACAATTCAGCCAATGGAGCTGTGTCTTTCTGTCTGTTGCCTCTGACTGTGTGGAGGAGCTTAGCACAAACATTGTGTAATCAAGACCCTACTGGAAACCGGGAGGTTGTGCCTGGAACCACTGGAAACAGATGCTAACTCTTGGTGCCAGAAGACAGACTTTCTGTGCCATGCTGAAGCACAAATAGAGCTGACAGCCATGCATCACAGCAGCTCGGCGCTCTTCCAAAGCCTGATCGGAGCCAAATCTTCCTCCCAGTCCTCAGCCTGAATATGGACTCTGAATAAATTGCCTTTAACTTCTCAATCTGACTGTAATTGCATGCCGTTGAGAGGATATGTGGTAGATTTGTTTCCCCGATGGGTTTCCTGCTCTGACTGATGTGGTCCCTTCATATATTTCAGTTCTGTGTGCATCTGAGTTACTGCCTTGGGCAGGTGGTGGGAATACAAGTAGCAAGCTCTACCCTCATGTTCTGGTTTTGTCTGCAGCCTGCAACACAAGCGCCATGCGGCCGCCCCTCCCCCCGCCGGGGTGTGGAGGAGAATGGAACGAAACAGGTAGAAATCGGTGGGTCGGGATAAGGGCAGTTTAACAGAACAGCAAACAAAGGGAACGGCAACAACAACGATACAGAAAAGGG